CACCTCTGGCCAAGGCCAAGCCCATCAGCGATGGTGGGAGCACCTCTGGGATAACAAGAGAAACCCCTGTGCAGACAGCAAGGTCAGTGAAGAAGGAGGGGGAGGAGGTGTGCCGAAGGAGGGGATGCCGCTGCAGCCCGTGGTGAGATGGCAGGCTGTCATGGTTTAACCCCAGCCAGCAACTAAGCACGACGCAGCCACTCACTCACTCCCCTCCCCCCCCCAGGGGGATGGGGGAGAAAATTGGGAAAAGAAGTAAAACTTGTGGGTTGAGATAAGAACGATTTAATAGAACAGAAAAGAACAAACTAATAATGATAACACTAATAAAATGACAACAGCAATGATAAAAGGATTGGAATGTACAAATAATGCACAGTACAATTGCTCACCACCCACCAATCAACACCCAGCTAGTCCCCGAGTGGCTATTACTCCCGCCCCCACTCCCCCCAGTTTATATACTGGACATGACATCACATGGTATGGAATACCCCGTTGGCCAGTTTGGGTCAGCTGCCCTGGCTGTGTCCCCTCCCAAGTCCTCATGCCCCTCCAGCTTCCTCGCTGGCTGGGCATGAGAAGCTGAAAAATCCTTGACTTTAGACTAAACACTACTTAGCAACAACTGAAAACATCAGTGTTATCAACGTTCTTCAAATACCTAACTCAAAAACATAGCACTGTACCAGCTAATAGGAAGACAATTAACTCTATCCCAGCTGAAACCAGGACACAGGCTGTCCACCCCCAGGCCATGGAGGGGAGCAGGGGAGCAGATGCCCACCTGCAGCCTGGGGAGGAGCCCACGCTGGAGCAGGTGGGTGCCCCCGAAGATGGCCGTGACTCCATGGGAAAGCCCGCGCTGGAGCAGTCTGTGACTGAAGGACTGCAGCCTGTGGGAAGGACGCACGTTGGAGAAGTCCATGAAGGACTGTCTCCCATGGGAAGGACCCCACGGTGGAGCAGGGGAAGAGTGAGGCATCCTCCCCCTGAGGAGGAAGGAGCAGCAGAGACAATGTGTGGTGAGCTGACCACAACCCCCATTCCCCGTACCCCTGCGCCGCTGTGGGGGAGGAGGTAGAGAAACATTGGGGGTGAAATTAAGCCTGGGAAGAACAGAGGGGAAGGGAAGGTGTTTTTAAGATTTAGTTTTTATTTCTCATTATCCTACTGTGATTTGATTTGTAATAAATTAAATTGATTTTTTTTCCCCAAGTCGAGTCTGTTTTGCCCATGACCAAAATTGGAGAGTGATCCCTCCCTGTCCTTGTCTTGGCCCACAAGCCTTTCATCATGTATTCTCCTCCCCATCCCACCTAGGGGGAGAGGAGTGAGTGAGCGGCCACTTGGTGCTTTGTTGCCAGCTGGGCTTAAACCACAACAACAGTGGAAATTAGATATTAGAGTTCCAGTCTATGTCTGAATTGGGCAAGAATTTAAACTTGGATTTATCACTGCCTGGGCAGTGTTCTAACCAACAGAATGACTGAAAAGGGGAGGAGAGAAGATTTGGAGCTTTGATTTTTTTCAGATAATATATTTAATCTTGAACTCAAAAAAAGTTTTTGAAAAAAAGTTTCACAATAAAGTCTATGTTTACCAGCAAAAGTTTGGTTTTGACAAATTAATGTTTTCCAACTAGAAAAAAAATTATTAGAATATTTTGGACCAGATTACTGGTCCACTTACCTCAGTTTTGCAATGAAGTATAACAACATTTTATTCACCGAAATGTTTCTCAATTTATAGCAGAGCAGGAAAGTCAAGAAAAGAAGTCTGGAATTCTTGGAAGGGTCTGGAAGATTAATTGGATAAAAACAGAAGTGGTGTTTTCAACTGACCTGAATATCTTTTTAACTGTCAGACTTCAGAAAAGGAAATTATATAGCCATAAAAAGGACTGGGTTTCTACAGAATATCATAGCTTTGACAAAAGAATTTGTGAAGAACAACTTATTCTCTGACAAGTGTGTTTAGCCTCTCTATGGATATCTATTTCTGAGAGAATTTTTTGTTGGCTTAGACACACACTTGAACTGCATCCTATCCTGCATTTTCTCAGCTGGGCTCAACTGGTATGCCCAAACTTACTACACCAGGGAAGTTCTCTTACATACCTGAACTCAAAGATATAGTTTAAGTATTTCAAAGGAGAAATTGGACTGTGAGAAAAGCTTATGATTCCTCAAGTCAATTTCTGTTCATGTATTTCCATTTCTAATTAAAAGCAACTTCATTTCTATGCTTCCGTATCATAGACATTGTTATATGTCATGTTAAACATTAATTCCTTACATTCCTGTTCTAGGAAAAATGCTCTAGAGACTCAGCATTTAAAATTTGTGGAAGCTGAAAATATTGCATCAGTAGGCCTTTATTCCCAGTTGAGATGTATGATCATATGTGTATAAAATGTTTAAATAACACAGTTGTTGACTACACATGCAATTTCATAGAAGACTTAATGGCATTTAAGTGACAAGCTTGTAGTGACTTCAGTTTTATTGCATTTTATGAGAGAGAGAGAGAAAAAGACAGAAATAATTAATTAACCTAGTGCGCTTTTATATTTGCAATTTCTGCAATTTCATATACCATTGAAATTCTACTTACCAGGAGATAAGGAAAATATATGTTATGCTTGCATGTGCATTTTGTGTTTTTCGAGTGGATAGCAAAATAACCTTTTAGCAGTAGTATGAAATAAGTGTCTATTTTGGTATAAACTCAGATTTTCTTAATCTTCTGTATCAACTGCGGCTATTGAATTTTTAAATATATGTAAAGTTAAATCAGTTTTATGTACCTATTTCAGCTACCCATATTGCACTAACCCCTTAGACTTAACACAGGAATATATTTAGAAATGAAATTAATTTTTTTACTGGGGATTTCTTAATGTTCTATGCAATTGTCCAGTAACCAGAAATAGAAGTTTTGAAAGAGAAAGTATACCATACTTATATAGGTTTGTTTATACATTTATTTGGCTTTTCATATATTTAGTTAGTATTCAGGTTTGATTTAATGTTAATTACTTTGCTTTTAAAGTTGCAGGTAATTATTGGATAATTTCATGTGCAAAGACGTTAAAGCTAAGTACTGTAGCCAAATAGCAGAGGCTTTCTTTGAGAATGCTGCTGGAGTTTGGTTTCCATCTCACGTACTGGGCCATAACATGTAAAATAGATGTCTCCCTGTGAAAGCTCTGCAGTGAGAGAGCAGTCTTAAAAACGGGGGGAGGGGAGGTATAGAAATTAAAAAAACAAAACAAAACAAACCAAACCACAGAAACCCCCTGAGAAGTTACTGAGAGAGACTACAATTCAAAGGTGCTAAGTCAATATGAGATTACACATTTTAAGGAATATTTAAGTGCCAACATATCAGTGAATAAATTTTGTGAATCTATTCAACGTATGAGAAATCCACTCTTGAATTCCAGTCTGGTAACACTGCATTTTAGCAACAGTTGTGGTATAACAATAAGCTTAAACAAGAATGCATCAGTTCAAACCAATAAGAAGCAATGGTGCTTTTTTTTGTGATAAATTGACACTAAAGCAAAATCTTGGCAATCTCCTATATTATTTAGAGGAGCAGTGATCAAAGGAAGAGGGATACAAAGAACTAGCACTCTCCTATATTCTGTACTGATGCAGAGATATTGTCAGTAATGGTGAATACAATTACTACCAAGGAGTGCTGGGAAAATGCTTTTAAAACTCACATTTATAAATCTTTGCTGCAAGTTAGAAGGAGGAGAGTAAAAGGAAGCCAAACAATATTCAGATACCTGCTACTATTTATAGTGGTTTAATTATACTGTTACTTTTTCTTGTATAGTGATGTTTTCTCAATACATTGCTTTTTATGCAGCCAGTGGATGTGCAGTCAATTTTATTATAATTATCTTGCTATTTTACAAAAAAGATTGGAATCTAATATTCAAAAAAATGTACTCTGCCTTCATATTAATAATAAGAAAAACAATCTCTTTATTCTCAAGCATACACTAAAAGGGGAGGCTATAGGAAATTTCTGGGTTTGCACTTTGTCAACAGTGGTCCACTCTCCATTGAATTTTCACCCTGATTCTTGTCAGCAACAGTCAGCACAATGGAAACCTACTGCATGGAGTATAAAACTGTGCGTGAGCTTCAGATTATTTCTTTCTTCGATGCAGACTGAGCAAGACAAACTACTACTGTTCTGGTGTCTCCCTGGGGTCTGAAGATCAGGCATGACAATAGGTAGAAAAGCTGCAAGAACAGTGATTGATATGGTATTACAAATGGCATTCTCATTTTTCCCTCCTTCTCAATAATGCAGCAAGCACTTCCAAAATGCACCCTTCAACTTATTATCTGGGGTGAGGGGAAGAAGATGATATTTTTATTCTTTTATTTGTAATACTCTCAATAATGGCTACTATAACTATTATTAATCAAAAGACCAGATTTGTATTTTACAAGTTTTATTCAAAGTGCTTAAGAAGAATTTTATGTGGAATCCAGAGACTCACAGCATTCTTAATTTCCAGAAAAAGAATCCTTTTTTTATGATAATATATCAGAATTAGCTTTCTGTGAAATACAAAACCAGTAGAAATACTGGTTATCGTTCATCATGTTGTGTGACTTCATTATACGTCTCAACATATATAATGTCTTTCTTAAAGCACTACTATATTCTTTAATTTACATGAAAATATATTTTTAAAAATAAGAACTTTTTATTTTGGTCCTTGTAAGTGGAGCTTGAAAATATGACCTCTAATAACCTGAAAAACAGAAGAGTATTTCTTGTGAATTATATAATGTTTTTTCAACACCTATTATGAAAACTGATTTTTGGTAATCCTGACATATGCTTTTGAACATTTGCTGTTGACAATACAGATGTCATAGAGTCCAACATTCAGATTTCTTTGAAGGGTGATGAATAATTTGGCAAAACAATTCTTTAAATTTGTCTGTGCAAAGGGGCTGTAAGATATGTCTACCCCAGTGATTCAGTGTAAACTTCAGTTTGTACCTGATCTCAGGGTCACTGGAGACAGAGAAAAAAATAGGCATAGGGGTATGTGTTGGACAGTTTCCACAGCCCTCTTGCTCCTTATCCTTGGGTAGGATAAATTTTTTTCTCTTTTTCCCTTCCAAAGAATCTAGCCTGATTCTTCTTCTAGCCTGATTCTTCTTCCTGGTTGCAGTGACCGTGAAATGGTGGAGTTCAAGATCCTTGGAGCAGTGAGGAGGGTGCACAGCAAGCTCACTACCCTGCACTTCAGGAGAGCAGGCTTTGGCCTCTTCAGGGATCTGCTTGGTAGAGTACCATGCGATAAAGCCCTGGAGGGAAGAGGGGACCAAGAAAACTGGTTAATATTCAAGCATCACCTCCTCCAAGCTTAGGAGCAATGCTTCCCAAGAAAGAGGAAGTCAGGCAAAACCCCCAGGAGACCTGCATGGATGAACAAGGAGCTCCTGGACAAACTCAAACACAGAAAGGAAGCCTATAGAGGGTGGAAGCAAGGACAGGTAGCCTGGGAGGAATACAGAGAAATTGTCCGGGCAGCCAGAGATCAGGTTAGGAAACCTAAAGCCCTGATAGAATTAAACCTAGCCAGGGACATCGAGGGCAACAAGAAAAGCTTCTATAGGTACATCGGTGATAAAAGGAAGACTAAGGAAAATGTGGGCCCTTTCCAGAAAGGAACAGGAGACCTGGTTACCCCGGACATGGAGAAGGCTGAGGTACTCAATGACTTTTTTGCCTCAGTCTTCACTGGCAAGTGCTCCAACCACACCACCCAAGACACAGAAGGCAAAGGCAGAGACTGGGAGAATGAAGAACAGCCCACTGTATGAGAAGGTCAGGTTCGAGACCATCTAAGGAACCTGAAGGTGCACAAGTCCATGGGACCTGATGATATGCATCCACAGGTCCTGGGGGAACTGGCGGATGAAGTGGCTAAGCCACTATCCATCATATTTGAGATGTCACAGCAGTCTGGGGAAGTTCCCACTGACTGGAAAAGGTTAAAAATAACCCCCATTTTTAAAAAGGGAAAAAAGGAAGACCCAGGGAACTACAGGGCAGTCAGTCTCACCTCTGTGCCCATCAAGATCATGGAGTGGATCCTCCTGGAAACTCTGCTAGGGTACATGGATAATAAGGAGGTGATTGGTGGCAGCCAACATGGCTTCACTACAGGAAAATTGCACCTTACAAATTTGGTGGCCTTCTATGACAGGGTTACAGTGTTGGTGGATAAGGGAAGAGCAATGAACATCATCTACCTGGACTTGTGTGAAGTGTTTGACACTGTCCCACATGACATCCTTGTCTCTAAATTCAAGAGACAGATTTGATGGATGGACCACTCGATGGATAAGGAATTGGCTGGATGGTCACAGTCAAAGAGTTGTGGTCAATGGCTCAATGTCCATGTGGATACCACCGACAAGTGGTGTTCCTCGGGGTCAGTGTTGGGACTGGCGCTGTTTAACATCTTTGTCTGCGACATGGACAGTGGCATTGAGTGCACCTTCAGCAAGTTTGCTAATGACACCAAGCTGTGTGGTGTGGTCAACACGCTGGAGGGAAGGGATGCCATCCAGAGGCACCTTGACAAGCTTGAGAGATGGGCCCGTGCGAACCTCATGAAGTTCAACAAGGCCAAGTGCAATGTCCTGCACATGAGTCGGGACAATCCCAAGCACAAATACAGGCTAGGCAATGAGTGGATTGAGAGTAGCCCTGCAGAAAAGGACTTGGGGGTATTGGTGGATGAAAAACTGAACATGAGCCAGCAATGTGCACTTGCACAACACAATGGCATTCTGGGCTGCATCAAAAGAAGTGTGTTTAGGAGGTCAAGAGAGGTGACTCTCATGAGACCCCACCTGGAGTACCGTGTTCAGCTCCGGGGCCCCCGACATAAGAAAGACATGGACCTGCTTGAGCGGGTCTAGAGGAGAGCCATGAAGATGTTCGGGGGGCTGGAGCACCTCCCCTATGAGGACAGGCTGAGAGAGTTGAGGTTGTTTAACCTGGAAAAGAGAAGGCTCTGGGGAGACCTTATAGTACGCTTCCAGTAATTAAAGGGGGCCTACAGGAAAGATGGGGAGGGACTCTTTAACAAGGAGTGTAATGATAGGACAAGGGGTAACAGTTTTAAACTGAAAGAGGGTAGATTTAGATGAGATATTAAGAAGAAATTCTTTACTGTGAGGGTGGTGAGGCACTGGAACAGGTTGCCCAGAGAGGCTGCGGATGCCCCATCCCTGGAAGTGTTCAAGGCCAGGTTGGATGGGGCTTGGAGCAACCTGATCCAGTGGAAGGTATCCCTGCCCTTGGCAGGGATGTTGGAACTAGATAATCTTTAAGGTCCCTTCCAGCCCAAACCATTCTATGATTCTGCCAGGTGCTAAAGGGAATATATGTTTTCAAAGGAAATGGAAGTACCTATGAATTTTAATCAAGTAAAAATATTTCATAACTGCCATACCAAATGGACTGTAAATATAAAAGTGGAACTTTAAGAAAATATTTAGTTTTATCACAAGTTTTGGGTCAGTTGTTCAAGTGTTAAAATGCAAGAAAAAATAATGAGTTAAATCAGTTGCTTTTCTTTTTGACCAGCTGTAACAGCAGGTAGCAATCTCACTTTACCTTGAAGGTGTCATTCATTACAAGCTACTTGTTTTCAGTCATGGGGACTTATTATAGTGGAAAATCACCAGGGAACCCCACTACTAATCTCTGAAATAACATACCATAAAAGCATTGAAATTAATATCAATGTACAAGGTATTCAAATAACATATTTTGCTTGCAGTTGTTTTTCTTACTGGAAGCTGAAGGTAGCCAAACATAAAGTCCTTCTAACCTTGGCAAGGGAATTTATACCAGAGGATCTTTAACACTTAGAGCAAGTGACTTACAATGTTATACTACTTTTAAATCTTCATCTATCATGCCGTACCTTCTTGCCCATCATTTAAACCATGTCAGTCTCTGCCACTGCCCCAGATGGCACCTGAAGTAACCCTGTGTATGAACAATAACTTCCACTGAAGTCGTATGGCTACTCCACAAAGAGCTTTAGGGTTTGCACAAGAGTAGAGAAGGACAGACTTCTGTGCTCTATGACTGCAAATGGGATTTAAGTAGTATGTTCAAGAATTTAAAAGAAAGAATGAAATATAAAAGTCGCCATAATTTATGAGTGATGTCACTGTCTTTATTGGGTTTTGACCACGCAGTACTGGTTAAGATCAAGGTAAGTTGTCAACAGCAGCGAGATAGAAAATTAAGAGGTTTGTCATTTGTTAAAATCCTTCCAGTGCTATGTTTTTTAATGATGAGAACACAGATTAGTCAGGCTTTAAAATGTTTAGGCATCATGGGTTTTCAAAATTCACAGTTTTCTCCCAGCACAGTCTTGACACTCAGGAACCTCTGTTCATTTATTCTATTAGATTATCTCAGAATTTTCATCATTCTGCCATTTGAATGCTTTACAAATACTACTGAATTAAGCTTTAATGTACTGGCACTCATACAAGTCTGTCACAATTCTTTAGTTTCCTCACGAATAGCACCACTAGATTATTGTAAAACAACATTCAAATTCTTTACTTGCATTTCAAATGACAAAATATAATCTGCAGTATTCCTGACTAACTTTCAATTTTCTGGGCAAACCTTAAGAGATACATAATTTATACACACATATATATGAGTGAGTGTGAGTGTGTATGTGTGTGCATGCATATATATAAGTATGTGCACATATATTTTTAATTTTAAGAAACTCTTGAGGATTCTAAAATGAAAATCATAGAGCAGCAGATAGTAGTAAAATTACTACTTTAATGAGCCATATTCTGGTAAATTTTCTCAGCTTGATGAGACCTAAGTAAGGCAACTATTCTCAACGAAGTCAGTATCAATGAAGTCATCTGAAGAAGTTCTCACAAATTTGAGTATCGCAATCAGTCTCGAGACAAGTGCCACAATTTTATTTCTTTCAAGTAATATCTGTTGCACTTTTATCAAAACCACGATAGTTTTCTAGTTTCCAAATTATTTTGAATCTAAGAAAATGTGTAAAATTCTTAAGTGAATTAAGATTATGTACCGAGTCTGGCTGGGATGGATTTAATTTTCTTCACAGCAGTTTGTATGGTGCTGCATTTTTTTTCATTTGCGACCAAAGCAATGCTGATATAACACACAAATATTTTAGCTGTTGCTGAGCAGTGCTTGCACAGCATCAAGGCCTTTTCTGTTTCTCACTTTGCCCCCCAGTGAATAGATTGGGGGATATGCAAGAGTTTGGGAGGGTACACAACCAGGAAGATGACCCAAACAAACCAAAGAGATATTCCATGCCATATAATGTCATCCTCAGCAATTAAAAGGAAAAGGAGGGGGGTTTAGGAGGGTTAGCGATCTTTTGCTTGGGAACTGACTGGGCATTGGTCTACCTATGGGAGGTGGTAAGTGATTGCCTTTGCATCAGTGGTTTTCTTTTCTTTCTTCTTCCATTTCTGCTTTGCTTAAATAACTTTTATCTTGACCCTGTCGTGGTTTGACTCCAACCAGCAACTAAGCACCATGCAGTGGCTCACTCACTCCCCCCCCCCACCAGTGGGATGGGGGAAAGAATCAGAAAAAAAAAAGTAAAACTTGTGGGTTGAGATAAGAAGTTTTCCAGGACTGGAAAAAAATCACTGGAGCTTTGAGACAATGGGATGACTTGGATTCTTAAGAAGAAGAGTACATAGGATTGCAGGCAACTGGGTAAACACTCAGAGGACTACAATGGTTTTCTCTAATAGGTCTAATGCTGAGATATGAGAGTCCCATTTTCTCTTGCTCCCCATCACATGATGTAAGCTGTCATTGCTCCACTAATTTCACAGTAAATATTACTCTTAGAAGGAAGAATTAGATCTTCAGTTGTATAATAACTCTTCTGAGGTCAATATATGCACTAAAGTCAGTCACTGCAGAGCTAGTCCTTTAAAAAACACCTGTGTAGGTGTTGTCAACTTCACCTGATGAAATACAAAGCAAAATATAAGTATTTCAGACCAGCTTTCTTCAAGTCTAAGCTTAGACTTAGATTACCTCTAAGTATTGTCTTTTTAAAAATCACTTCGTGTTTCAGCTCCTCTTTCTTTTCTGTCTTGTAGAGGTGTTTGAATTTGTGAGTAATACAGTAGAGAATTTTCTCTTCACTTTCAACAAAGTGACTGTTGAACAAACAAACAGACGGTCACAAACTTCAATGCTCATGCTAGTTTTCCCACCAGTTTATACAGTCATTGCGATCAGATGTTGATGTACATGCTCTTAAATCTTTGAAATGGAGATCCTGTATTCATGAGCAATGAAGGCTCTGAGTCTATCCACATGGAAATAATTCAAGTATTTTGGAAAATATTTCGCATTAAAAATCAATTTATAAATCACATGATTTGCGTTGAGTTTGGACTCTTTGCATTTTTTGCCATAATATATGATGCTTCTGAACTGGAGGTTTATAGCTGCAGTTCATTTGAAAGTCTTACTAAACACTAATTTACTTCTAATGATGCAAGCCATTTACACAGGTGCACCCACATAAGCATGCACATTAAGTATAGGATTTCTTTACAGCACTAAATATCCAAATGTAAAATTTAAATATTTGTCAGATCTACTTTCCTATGTCTGGTATTCCCACTGTCAGTAAAATAATAACATTTCCTCAAAAAAGCAGAAATATTGCTGGTAATTCCTTTTCCAAAACAAAAATAAAATTGTATTTCTTTTGAATATTAAACATTGTTTTGCGATGTTTATGCAAGCAGATAATTATGCAATAATCCCATATTAGTTTACAACTATATATATATAAATTACTGTCAACACCAGGTGAAGTGAAATATGTACTTCAATGTAAGTACCAGGATAAAGTGGAAGGTTAATTGAATCTATCATTGCAGTCAGCGGTCTTGTATCTTAGAGAAGAAACAGAGGAAATACAGATTGGTATCGCCATTCTGTTTTCATCGCTGCACTTTCTGCTCTTCTCCTTTGCTGTCCTTATTCATTTGTGATGACCTGGCTATTAGTGCTTCTTATCTTTTTGTACTTTTTTCCCTTCTCTCCCTGACATTACCATTACGAGAACCAAAACCCCATGCTCACAATCTATTTTCTCTTTGTATTACTATTTGCCAACAGGTGAGGTAAGAAGCTGGCACCTAGCACTTAAGTCCAGCCTGGCAAGCATGGGAAAAATGTTTATAGCTCTTGCATACCAGAAACAAGACTATATGCCATTCTGATTACACAGGATAATCTTTAAAACAGCTTGCAAATTTGACTACTTTTCCTTTACTAGACTTCCCAGCTTGATCTTTACTTAAGGCAATAATGCTGCAGATTCTTTCAGTGGGGTAGGGTCAGGACTATAATGCATAAAAGATTTCTACTGAAGAAAGTTGTCTAAAAGTTGTCTCTATGCAAAAGCTTCCAATCTTGTTTCCTGATATTTCTGAGCTGCTATTTCAGCTGGTTTTGAATCATTTGATAATGTGGTAAATTTTCATTTTCATGAAATATTTTTAGCTGATTTCCTTATAATGGACCATATAAAGTTTGATCAGGCCTTGGAAAGGTAAAATTTATAATTCTCTCTTGCTTTTCCTCTCCTTTCTCTTCCTCCATGACTGTGTCATTTGTGTAGTTCCCATCCACCCCCTCCTCCCCCAGCCTTCCATAATGCCTTTCCTCACCATGTACATGAAAGACTTAGAAATACAGGGTCTTAATGATAAAAGCTGAATCCATCAACAGGGAATGACTTGCTGCAATGTTAAGTTCATCTTTCCTGCTCCAAGCTCTGCACCAGCAGAATGGCATCCAGGGACTGTATTTAGGTTTTGTGTGCATTCAGATGGTGTTAGAACTGTGATCTTGTTTGAGAAGATGAGAAATCCAAAGCTTTTCTCTGGTTAAGTCATATTTAAGCGGTCATAAAGATATCCAGTCTCTTTTATTTTAAAACTCTAACCGTGTAAAGTATGTATTCTTTTCAAACCTTTGTTAGATCCTTCATTATTTTATAGCATTAGTCCTATATCTGACCATTTTTGCCTAAAATACATGGACCATACACACACAATTACATTTTGGACAGTAAGGGACTGGAGCATACATACAACATAATGAATAAGACCATTACAAATCCTATAAGCCCTGGTTTTTAGAGGATTCTTTAGGACTTTTACAGGGAATTGTGAAGAGAAAACTATGGAGGTTTGGGATTATTTTGAAAGTCCAATGGATCAGCAACCCAAATAGACAGTCGAGGAGTGTTCCAATTTCTTACAGACATTCTTTAGTACAGATGAGTTTTGTGAGGAAACATCCTCTGTTGTTCAAAGCTTTTTAAGAATAGGTTAAACAAACTGCTGCCAGGATAACTAATCCCTTAAAGTAGCAGATGGATTAGATGGCTTCTCAAGCTTCTTTGTAGTTGAGTTTCCTTTAATTCAGTTGTGCTTTGTTTCAAATTATATATGATCATCAGAACAGTGACTAATATATACCCTGAACTAAATTATTAGTAGATTGAATATTGGTTCTGCCAGTATATTCCCCAGCATCCAGTGTCAGAAACTTAAAGGAAACTTAATAGATAACCACTACTGACCAAAACCTAAATTTTCACCGTTGTGAACCTTAAATTCCTAGCTGACAAACTTGTGCATACTTCTGAATTGAATGTCAGACAATATAATTTTGCACTGACTCATCAGTGTCATCAGAAAATATAAGCTATTCAGAAGCAGTGGGCCACAGAAACCATAAAACATAAATATTGTTTTAGTGACAACTTACCTATGTGAACTTACAAGAAAAATGGGGCAGTTCTACAGACACATACAGACCCATGCTTGAAACAAGTGTCTGTGGACTTCTTTACCTTCATCGCAGGTGCAAAGGGGAGGTTATTTTTATTGAGTACCTTGAAAGGGGTAAAATATGATGGCAGTCCTCCCTCCAGGTCTTCCTGAGCTAGGCGGCCTCAAGTCCTTTTTTTGATAGCAGGTTGTGAGTGATGATGCTTCAGTTGATGGCTGATTTTACATTGATCAAAAAGGTCTTCCCTGCCTTGGTTGTTCAAACAGAAGAGAAAACATCAGTAACTGAGAAAACACAAGTCATCCAGAACCCATCAGTACTGTAGGAAGGAGTATATTTAACCTAAAAAGTAGTCACACCAAAAAAAGCAAAAATGTGTTGGAACTGCAGAGCTTGGGTAACAAAGCATATCATTTTTGACAGAGGAAAATAACTAATGAGTGGCATATCCTCATTTTTACTATGTCACAGAGGCTGGCATTCCGACAGCATTTAAAGGTCCTGATAATTCAAAAATAAATATTCTCTGTGAAGGCTTCTATTATGTTGGCATATAAAGGCATTTATACCATTCAGTGCAACTCAAAGCAGTTTAGGAAGTACTGTATAATTACATATCTGTGGATGGAGTGACTTTTGCAGTCACACAAAGCCACTAATATTATATATGCTTTGAATTATTTCTCATTCAAGCATGACCACTGGCCCTTTGCCACTTAATGTATGACATTAGTTTTATATCTCCTCACAATAATAGGACCTCCAGTTCTGCAGCATCCTCTGTTAATGAAATTTACCATCTACTTTAGTCTGAATCTAAATTGTACTTCTGAACATTTAACCTGCAGGAATTTGGTCTGGAGCTGTTCAGCTTCACCACATCTATTAATAGCTCAAATATATCTAAAATGAATGGAACAAAAGTCTGAATGTGTTTGAATATTGCAATTCTAATAGTACAGCTGGTGAAACTCAGAGTTTTGGGAACTCAGTACAAAGCCTGTGGAGGCTAGTGGAAAGACTCTGAAATGTCTCAAAAGTCTAATTCCATTGTCCTGATTTCTACCATAAATGTATAAGCTGCTCATGTTCTACTCAGAATTCATTACAGGTTGTCTTGAAATCTGGCACCCACTTGCATGGACCCTTTTCAGAAAACTTGACCTGACTTTTCAGTTAAACAGGCAGGGAATCTGACTGTGTGTTGCTGTATATGCTTGGTTTGTCCCACTATATGGTCTACGTAACCATGAGGGCTGGAGCGGAGCTCCCAGAGCACAGCTAACAGAGGCAGCCAACAGATGTAGCAGTTTCTGGGCTCTGCTTCCTTGACATGTTCTTGAGTTTCTGAGCACTTTGTCAGCCACCTGGGAACTCCTGGGAACCTTCGGAGGAACATGAGGTTGCCTACTGCTGCCAGGTAAGGCTAAGGATAAGGTAAAGCTAAGGTCTAGCAGATTCTGACAAACTCTGTCAGCTGTCCTTCATCAAGTGGTGCCTGCAATCTTTGTTCTAGCTTAACCCTAAGTAGGGAGGGTAAGCTCCTTCCTTTTAACCCGTGCTAGGGAAAGGCCTATATAAGAGCTAGGCCCAGCACACAGCCAGAGGTAATGGTTTGTGCAGTGGGATGTGAGGGATGGGCCTGCGAACTTTCTCTGTCTAACCCATACATCCTTAGGTATGGAGGGAGGAAGCCCAGGTGGTATTCTTGTCAGTCGTGATAGGGAAAGGCCTGAGTACGACTCAATGGATCCTGCAGGTACTAATTACACAGCTGGTGTTGGCAGCAGGGTTTCAGTTTCTGTGGCCACGAGGACCTCTTTGAGGGCCATCAGCTGCTTGGAAGAGATGGGATCCATTTGACTTAGTTTGCAAAGATATCTTTGTCAACAGGCTGGCAAACCTGGTATGGAGAGCTTTAAATTAGAAATGATGAGGAACAAACAGACAGAGAAGTTGGGGATAAGATAGGCAAGCCGAAGGTCTGGGTTGATGAAAATAGAAGGGGCGCAAAAATCAACAAAACAAGAGTGGAAATGGAATCCCTTTGAGTGTTGGCATGTAAAGAAGGAAATGCTTGCAGAAGAGCGTTATAGGGAAAGCTCTAAAGCCTGTTTAAGGGAATTGGCATGCTTGGGTACCCTTCCAAAGTGCCTCTGCACTAATGCATGCAGTCTGGGGCACAAACAAGGGGAGTCAGAAGTATGCACTTACAGGGATATGACCTCTATAGGATGACAGATATGTGGTGGGATGGCTCACATGCCTAGAATACTGCAATGGAGGGATATAGGCCTTTTAGGAAGTACAAGCAGGAGAGGTGAAGAGGCGGAGTTGCCTTTTATGGTGAGGACAGCTGGAATGCATGGAGCTCTGCCTTGGGATTGGTCAGGAGCCAGCTGAGAGCTTATGGGTCATGATTGTAGTAGATATCTTCTATAGATCTTATTAGGAAGAAGTACTTGAGGCCTTCTTCAAACAACTGGAAGAAGTCTCATGGTCACAGGCCCTGGTCCTCACGGGTGACTTCAACCACTCCGATATCTGCTAGAAGCATAATGCAGAAGGACACAAGCAATCCAGGAGATTTCTTGAGTGCATCTGTGGCAATACAAAAGTGGGAGGACTGGCTGATACACCAGAGGGTTGTTCCACCATCCAGAGGGATCTTGACAGACTGGAGAGAGAGGCATATGGAAACCTCATGAAGTTCAACAAAGGGAAAGGCAAAGTCCTGCCTCGCAGAAGGAATAACCTCAGGGACCTCTACACAATGGGGGCCAATTGGCTGGAAAAGAGCTTTGCAGAAAAGGACCTAGGGTCCTGGCAGACAACAAGCTGGCCGTGAGTCAGCAATGCACCCTCACAGCAAAAAAGGCCAACAGCATCCTGGGCTGTGTTAGGAGGAGTGTTGCCAGCAGACCAAGAAAGGTGATCCTTCCCCTCTTCTCAGCACTGGTGAGGCCACACCTGGAGTACTGTGTCCAGTTCTGGGCTCCCCAGTACAACACAGACACAGAGCTACTGAAAGGAGTTCCTGAAAAGGTCCACTAAGATGGCTGAGTCCAGAGCATCTCCATGAGGAAAAGCTGAGAAAGCTGGGACCAATTAGGCTGAAGAAGAAAAGGCTCAGGGGGAACTCACTGTGTACAAATACCTGATAGGAGTGAATGAAGAAGCAGGAGCCAGACTCTTCTCCGTAGTGCCCAATGACAGGGCAAGAGGCAGTGGGTACAAATTAGAATACAGGAAATTCTATCTGAACACAAGAAAACACGTTTGTGCTGTGACAGTAGTTGAACACTGGTACAGGTTGGCCGGAGAGATTAGGCATTCAAATGTCTGCGGAGGCATTCAAAACCTGGACAGACTCAATCCTGGACAACCTGCTCTAGCTGACCATGGTTTGCATGGTGGGGTTGGACTAGAAGATCTCTAGAGGTCCCTTTCAACCTCAATTGTTCCGTGGTTGTTCAGAGCTTTTTCTGACTAATATGCTACAGATTCTGTTCAGTAGGAACCAAAGTGATTCTCTAGTTTGTCTGTGCCACTGATCAACCCAGTCAGTGGGAGATGTTTCCAAACTGATTCCTGTGGATTCATCTTTGGGTTCCAATGATGAATTTTTACTAGGTGTTTACTAGATTCAGCAGGATGAGTTTCATGCTCCTGCATCTGGCAGGAATGCAAATTAAAGCTAAGTATTCTCAGTTTGTGATTTACAGTGAAGTCTTGTGAGAGCGTGCGTGTAATTGCTCAAAGAAATGGTAGGGGTTCAAGACGCTTTCCAATGACACTTTAATTATATTTATGTAATAATACACCATTTTTCTGTCCTTGACTCTCAAAATAAGTAAAAATAATAATTGCTTAGGTACTTACTGGTACTTAACAACTGAAGGACTACCTGTATAAAAAATAAAAAGGTATTATAAAAAAGTAAAAGGTAATGGCACAGTGCATTATAGCTGGACCATAAATGAAAAATTAGAGAAGAGAGTTCCTCCCCCCCTACTCGAGTATGCACATTACTTTATGTTACCCCACCACATTTAATTGTAACCGTTTACTGTGTACAGATAATGTTATTTTATCAGTTGGATGTGCACAAGTGTCTCAGAAATTCTGATGAAGAGTTATCTGTTCTACCTACTTAATGATTTTTTTAAAAAATTATTATTTTATAACCTATATAAACCTCACTGTCTTGACTTTGTTTTACACATTCATTTTCTTTTTACACAGGGAGGATGTCCTTATAGGTAAGTGAGCTTCCATTTCAGCTTCTAAGAAGACTTAAAAGATTACTTGGCAGCAATGTTGCTGGCTCATATGACAACAGTAACAATTTTTCTGCTAGGTCACATGCTTTAACATGCAGGTATTAGGAATCCATGTGACAGCTAAATCTATGTGAATTAAGAGGTCTTGTGACCTCTGCCATAGAAAATGGTAAAAGCAATGCTCAACATCCCATAAATCTCATTTCCACAGCTTCAGAAGTAAATGTATGGAGAACACAATTAAAAAGATTTATGTGCTTCATTCTACTGTCAGAGATTGAAGAAGATGGAAACTCCATGAAGAGCATCAATATCTTCATCTTAAATGAAGGAAGGATGAAACATTTGGATCCTTAGATGTAGCTGGAATTCTTAATCCTTTCCCAGTTGTTGAAATGAAGATTCTCTGGGAAGAATCAAGATATGGGAGGATATGTCTGTCTGAGGAGATTTAACACAACTGTACAGCCTATGAAAATTGATGTATAGAAGAGCAGAAGGGCCTAATAAGAGGCATGATTGCCACAAATCTACAGTGAGGATGAATAACTACACAGTAAGATTCAGCAAAATATAGGCACAGCTGTTTAAAAATTGGCATTTCCCATCTTCATCATACCAGCAGATGTCAGATTTCATTAGGCAACAGCTTGAAAGCCCTGAAATATCAAGGATCTGCTTTATTACCTTCCTTGCACACTTTAACCGCCAAGCATTTCCAATGCAAGCTATCACAAGTAGCTGAATGTGCTAACCTTCACCACATTTTCTTGAGAATTAAACAAAATGACGCTAAAGGAGGGCTTGTAAAAAGAATTTCAAGTTTTGAAGTGATTTAGAGCCTGAACCTCCCTGAAGGGTCTTTTTTCTCTTGGAAGGAAACCTTGTTGAAGGTAAATGTCCGTGCATCACCTGGGTCAGGGTAATGGTTTTGACTCTGTTGTTTGAACTGGGACCCAGAATCGAACAGCCTGACCTCTTGAACTTTAAACAAGATTTTCAACAATAGATCATTTGGTCCAGTCAAGCATTTTTTTTTTTTTTTTAATTCAAGACTTTCTCATTCTGCACCTTATGTCACTTGTTTTCAGTCAGTAACTGTAAATCTGTTGGCTTTTGATCTGATGTCATATACTTTTTTATGAATCTATCTTGCATGCAATAAAATTGAAGCTATTTAATGAGTCTGATAAAGTATAAATATATAAGTAAAAACAAACCCAAACCAAATATAAACTATCTTTGCCAAATAAAGATCACTGTTCACATATATAATATCAGAAAAATTGTGATTTAAAAATACTTCTGTTTCCATTAATGACACAAACTTACAGCATACATAAAGCATTATTTCCATTTTTCTCATTTTCAGCATTCCCTTTACTTCCATAATCCTTGAAATAATTTGGGTTTCTCCTACATCTGTTTTAAAAGATGTACCACTTCATTAAACTTATCCAACAACAGTGATAAAAATTTTAAGAATTATGATAATCCTGAATTGTCTCTGTAGACAAAAGCATTTCCCATTCAAAATAAATAATAAATTCAGTCTGAAGATTTAGTTTTCTTTCACTTCTTCCTCCACACTTGCCCAAATCTCTTCTTTCCTTGAGAAGCTGTAATCAACCTGAAGATCCTTACCTGCAAAGAGGAGGAAAGGAATGAATCCTCACCACAATGTTCCTTCACTTAAATGTGTTTCCCAGGTGACCCAGAGGGGTTTCTTTTTTTTTTTTTTCTTTTTTTTTTGAGGGGTAAGTTGGAGATCATATAATGATAATTTATTTTGCATCTGTTCACAGGAGTTTCATATGAGATATCTAAGTGCCATATAAACAAAAAATAATGAAGCAACTCAAAGTTATTGCTGTGGTGTACACATTTTATGGAGGGATAAAAACCGAAGAACAAAACTTAAATTCTCAGTTATAGAACTCATACCTTAGCTTTACAAAAAAATCAAGATTTTATAATACAGAAGACATTCAGGTGCCATGAGGATGAAGGAGGAGTTGATTACAAGTGCTGAGGATTGTTGTTTTGTATTTCTAAAGAAATACTTATAAATTTCTTTTTGAACATGGACCCTGCTCTACCCATTAGATTATTCTAGTTTCTGCAGTATTCAGCATATCTTCTTCAACATAATTCTTATTTGACTTTTTTATTCTGTTCAGCTTCTCCTTGGTTGTGTTGCTTTTATAATGTTTTATCAGTGACATCACCTACTTCTGGCTGTTATTGGGATGTCACACATTCCAGATCATGATTTGAATAATACAATAAGTAGGAGGATGAAGAGGACTATAAAAGCAAAAGAAACCCCCTCAAGTAATTTGGTGAAACTCCTGGATGGATTAGCAGTGTATATTTGTTTTTTAACTGTTATGCGCTTTTCAATGTAGAGAAGAACAACTCATCCTCTAGTTAATTCACTATGTCCTTCCTTCCCGTGGTTGAGTCTTTCTAATTTCTGAATTATCATTTACAGATTTTGCCACAAATATAATTGTAAATATGTATAAATAAAAATTTAATCTTCTCTTCCTCATTGGCTCTTTCCTTTCACTAGACAAGAGAGGGAGAGAAGGCGGGAGGGAGGAAGACACCCTCAAACATCACAGGATGGAAATTCAAATGATAGATAGAAAAAAGAACAATATGAAGAAAGAGGATACCTGTTTTATCTTTTTATTACTTTGTTTATATTTTCATGTGACCAGTAACTTTGTAATTTACTCTCTATGTATTTTATCTGAATTGAATCAGTGATAGCAGCAAAGCTAAATGAGTTCCATTCTTATCAAGAATATGATGATAACAGAGAATTAGAAGAGTAGAATAGAATACAAGACTGATAAAACAGAAGACTGTGAGTTTGGAAATAGTACTGCTTTCTCTCATTGCAAATGGGGTGCTGTCTACTGTTGAGGATTTCTTGGCTGGGCAAAGGAATGTGAGCAACCCAGCCGTTAGGTGGGAACAAAGCATAAGTTTACAAAACGCTGGAACAGACAAGGACGCTGTGTCCTTGTATGCTGGGAAAAAGGAAGATAAAGAAGAGCCTGACAAACACCTGGATGCTGAAGAATGAGATAAGTGATTGCTGGACACCTCGTGAAGAAGCTTGCTCAGCCAATAGAGAATAAGATAGTGTCGCGTGAAACGGGGTATCGTACCAATTAGAGTATTGTATATGGCGCGTGCACAAGCGCATAAGGTATATAACTGTATCAAATGTTGTAGTAAAGGGCTTCAGTGGATCACATTGGTCTGTGTGTGATGTCGCTCCGCAACAGTCTACAATAGCATCCAAGGAACAAGTGTTTTGTAGGATTTGTGCAAATTAGCATACTCGATTTCCAACATGCTTCTTAATATTTTTTTTACAGTGGAGGCATAAAGAATATAGATGAGAAATTGCCTAATTGGAGTGGGAGGGGAAAGAAGGCATTTATCTAGGAAAGGTCTGTTAATAAGTCTGGTAGGGGTATGCATCATTTACGAGCCTGCCCTAAAAAAGGTATGGTACTGAAGATACTAGGGGTGATGACAGTTTGAGAAGTATCAAATGATAAAACAGAGATAAAAACAGATAGCAAGGCTAATTACAACCAACAAATCTGCAGTGGCTATACTGCCTCATGTAGGAGTTCACTGAGGCTACAAACTATTATTTTTCAAACTCTCAATGCATTTAGTGTACCGTAGAATTTAATAGACATGTTAAAACTGACATGAAAATAAAATTTTCATGGTTTTTTTGTTTTCCTAAATGGATGTTTTCTTTTCTGAGCACCTGCTAAAGGAGCATAAGTAGAGGAGAGATGGATAAAAAACACATCTGCAAAGTCACTAAAATGAAGCTCTGTGTATTGTAGTCTCTTGGTAGTTCAAGAAAAATCTGTTTTTCACTGTGTTTTCTTTAAAATAGGTAATCTGAAAATGTTCCATATTGAATGAGCTACATTGCTTGGATTGTTTAAATAAAAAAATGATGTGTGATAAAAAAGCAAAGGTATCTTTTTGACAGGCATATACATATGAGAAACCATATGAGATTACCTAACTTAGGTAGTCTCCTTTGAGCTGGTTTGCTAATGATAATTCTAATTATTTTTTCACATCCAAAGAGGGAATATCCATTCCAGGC